AAATTTCAAAAATTTATAATCCAGAAAAAATATTTCAAATATCTAAATTAAATTTTGAAAATAAGAAAAAAAAAAGGATTTTCTTTTCGAAAACTAAACCTCCAAATGTTTTATAAAGATTGATATTCAAGAATAATTTAGGTTAATTTATAATTATAATTAATAATAATAATGATCATATTCAATTTAACTCTTGGAATTGTATTTGGACAATAGACAAAAATTTAATTATAAATAAGCAAATTATTTAAAGGATTAAATTATATTTAGATTAAAGAAAAGAAACTTGTTGAGTTATTTTATTTTAAAAGAAAGGAAGTTTTAAGTAATGCGGATTAATTTTTATAATAAGTGAAGAAAGGTTCACTAACTGCGTTGTTACTAAGCGCGCCAAAAGAACAATGCCGAACGAAATTTTCCGAACTAGACAAAGGCGATGGCGTCACTAGCCTCGGTAGCGTCGTGTAAAATTTTGTTCGAGTATCTTCTCGAATTTACTGCTTAGACAAATATCTATTACAAAGGCGTTAGTACTACCGAGTTTTATTTTGTAACTATTATTATTATTTATAATCCCCTGAGTGGCTGTGATACGTAGACAATGCTACCACAAGCCACTGGGTATACTTTCTTTGTTATTGATAATTTTTTAATCCCCTGAATAGCTGTAACTCGTAGTAAATACTACCACAAGCTATTAGGTATAATGACACTTCCGGTTTATTATAAATTTCAATATCTTAATTCTACAAAATTAAGAAAAAATAAATAAAAAAAAAAAATTTTAATAAAATTCAATAAATTTAAGTTTTACTTTTTTCAAAACTCAAGTAACTTTTTCCCCAAAACTAAAAAATTTTTATAATAACTAATGACTGTAATTTATTTATTTTAAATTTTAATTAATTAAAAATTTATTCCTTCCCAGGCCTTCCTTCTCTCTCATGGGGTTTTTCAATGGTTGGGTGCCAGTGTAACGGGTTTGTCTTACCTGTTCATTGGCCCCTTAATTAATTTAATATAAACAATACAATAGTAATTAACAAAACTATTCTAAATTAAAAAGGGCGCCACCGGGTTTTTATAACACGGTTCCCGGAACCGGAACCAGAGCTGAGCTTATAATCTACAGGGAGAGAGAAAGAGAAAGGTGATCTGGAATGAATACATTTTTATTTAACAACGGTACCAAAAATTTATTTAACAAAATAAAATAACAACTCGTGCACTCGCACGTACACTAACTCACTTAAACTAACTTAACACTACGACTTATTACTACCGAGGATTCCGGGCTGAAACCGTCGCCTCAACTCAACTGACCACATATCTACTCTCGAGGATTTCGGGCTAAAACCGTCGTCTCAACTCCACGACTCACACAATGCTAGTCCTCTACTCGGCAATTCATCAACAAGTAGAAAACGTAGCACTTTAATAACTACTGATATTATGATCCGATTACCCTGCTCGGCAATTCATCAACAAGCAGGGGTCGTTCCAAAATTCTTACTACCGCTGTACCCCAACTTGGCGACTATACAACGGCTTCTAAGGTGTATTAATTACTCTACTCGGCAACTCATCAACAAGTAGAGATCGTTAGACGCTCACACACACATACCCCGTACTATCTTCACACACATAACCCGCTCACACACACTGACTCTACTTTACTTTTTATTTTCCGGACTTATAAAAGTTTTACAAAACGAAACTCCAAAAATTAAAATATGGATTTTCTCTAAATTTTTCCAGTCATTAGCTCGTAAATAAAACCATAAACTCTTTCCGCGATTAATAATTTATTTCTCTTGAGGATTCCGGGCGATAACCGACGCCTCAACTTATTCCAAAATTACCACGAGTTAATACTCAGCACAAAGAAAATTCCGGAATATTCGACGGACATTTTTACTCGGAATGTAATTATTAATTATATATTATATAAAATATTATTATAAAATTTCATCAATTAATTTAACTAACTAAAAATTCCCAGATTTAATATCCACGTAATTGAATTGATTTTTAGGGAATTTTTCCAAGATGATGAAATTAAAAGTATTTATTATATTTTCCTAAAAATAACCGCGTGGGATTTTCCGACTAGATAATTAATTAACAAATAAAATTTCTCTCAGTATAAAAAGAAATCACGAAAATTATCCACCGGTATTTCAATTTTAAATTGCGCCGTAAATTCAATAAATAATTTTCAGCAATAAAAAATACTTCAAAATAAATAATATAATATAAATAATTTTCAATAAATAATCCAGTATAAACAAATAACATTAAAATTGATAATTCAATTGTTATAAATTATAATAATAATCCAATTGTTAATTTTATAATTTACTGCGTAGTATAATTCACAAAGGAATTTGCGCGCTCAAAATGGACGCTGGTGTTCGTAACTGCGTAGCAAGCTTTGACCTCGGGTACGCGAGCGACGCTTGACCGATCTGTGAGCTGATTGGAACTTTCTCGGTGTTCAGAATTTAATTAATGTTTTATTAATAAAAAAAAAATTATTTAAGCCAATCTTAAGATGTTAATAATTATTAACCGGCCGAATTAATAATTTAATTTCTCATGACTTCTAAACCCAAGAGGTCTAGAACATTCCTCGGGTATAAGATCCCCAAGAGGATTGCTTACAATGCTAACGAATCAATCAATTATATTAAATAATTATTATTAAGCGAATTATCCATAAGCAATTGAATTATCAAAAATAAATTAATAAATGAGAAGTAGTAAATTTGATGAGCCGAGTATACGACTCCAGGGCTCATCAAATGTAAAAGTCTCAATACCTGGTTAAATTTGTGCTTGAAGAAACTCTTTGTTCAAAACTGGCTTCCTTCTTGGACTTTTTGGCTGCTTGTTGTTGGACTGAGCACCGCACTACGTCTGATTCACCACCGCCGCGAGACTAGTCAAGTAAACCCCAATTCCCTCCACTTATGACTAGCCGGGTCCCGAAGATCGATACGCGCCAGTGCTACGTCGAATAATTACCACGCGTGTGCGGTTTTACCGATACAGGGTAAATTACCCTGTTACAAGCTTCTTAGGGAGCGTCCATAAACCACATAGCCTTGTCGAGAGGGGGGAGGGATAAGTTTGAATACTACGCTGAGCTACGTAACGGGGGGGGGGAGGAGGTAAAAGCAAAGCTACGTAGCTTTCTTCTAATGAGAATAATTTTGTGAAATACATTTATAATTGTTTAATAATTTTATTTAAAATACGGATGCTAATTTTTTTTAAGGAATTATGAATAAAATGTTTGCAAAAATAATAAACTGTTAATAAATTTATTTTTTTGAGGGAAGTACATTTATTAACAGCTAAATGATCTCTAGAAATAGTTAACAACTATTCAGTAAAAGTTGATAAATTGTATTTAATAAATGATTTATTAAATGTTATCAAATCCTATGATATTTTAAATAATTATTCATCAAAAAGTCTTAATAAAATTGTATAAAATATTAATAAATTATTTTATCAATGCATTTATTTATTTTTAATTTTCGGAAAATTTTATATGTTAACGCAATTTTTTTATGCTATTGCGCTAACATAGGTGACTCGGACGTAGCTGGATGGCCTAATGTATTAAGCAAAAATTATTATTATTCCTTCAAAATAAACTTTTTTTTTAATTAATGTAAAGTAGAAAGCACACAGAGAGAAAAATATCGTTAAAATGAGGATACTTATCGTTATTCTGAATATGCGCCGTCGTCATTTTTTTTAGAGATACGCTGTATAGCCAATTCAGCTATACAGCGGATCATCAAATTGACGATCCATATCATTATTTTAGGCCTTACATTTCGTTGATTCAACTATACAGCTCCTTACGTTGACAAAACAGTTGCCTGTTTTGAGGAAACTACATATATTAACAAGAGCTATTCTCTGTATGCTAAAGTGAAACAAATAAATCCGTTAATTAGAAAACCGGATCTTTATTTTAAGGATACGTTAGATAGTCATTTTAGCAATATTTTTTTTTCCGTGCAGAAAATATTGTGTAAAAAACCCACGTTCCATCGGGGCAGGGAGGGGGGGGTCACAAGAAAAGCTACGTTAGGCTACATGAAGGGTGGGAGGGGTCTAAGAAGGGCTAAAATAAGACCACGTAGTTTATGGACGCTCCCTTAGGGCTTCAAAACGTCGAGATCTGTTGAAACCTCGATTTTTGCAAAAAGGGGTAAAACCAATAACTTCCCGGGTTTTTGAAAATCATTGATTTTCTTAGCGGGAAGTTAAAAAAGCAACACTTCCCACATACACACAAATGTTTAGAATATTTTTCTGAAGATTAAAAAAAAAATTCTAAAATCGGACCATTTCGACGAAAAGTTGCCAACAAAACACTTTTTTCCAGGCAGACGGGACTACAACTACAAGCATGTATTTGAGAAAGGTTACACGTAAAACTGGACTACAGAAATCTTCACAATCAAGTCAGTGCAGAATACAAACCCAACGACATACAAGCTCGAAGACTACTAGGATCAACCGATCGAAGAAGGATTCTATAACGAAGAACTCAGCAAAGCCAAATATCCAGATGTTTATCTTGTTGAAAAAATTATTACGACACGTTGAAATAAATACTATGTTCAATCGCTAGGTTTTGATAGTAAACATAATAGTTGGATTATTTAATCAGATATTTATTTATTTATTTATTTATTAATAATATATGCCAAGGCACAGGTCGAATGGCAAGGTATTTAATACATTATAGTTTGTGATGACTGTATTATAAAATATAAATAGTATAAAATATAAATAGTACAGAGTATAAATAGTAATAGTATAATAACAATAATGCAGAGATTAAATGTATATTATTAAGTTATAACATCATAGAATGATATAGATTTACGATTTGAGATTAGTTTAGAATTAATTTAAGATTTAAGTAGTACAATTATAAATACAATTTTTAATTTTACAATTTTTACAGTATTTTAGAAGTCAGAAGAGATAAGATAATCATACATTTTCTTTTTAAATATTTCCAAGGTAGTTGCAGCTGCTATATCAGCTGGTAACTTTTGCCATAGACGTATTGCCGAAATTAAAAATGAATGCTCAAGATGTGAAGTAGAAAAACTAGGAATTAAGTAATTTACATTGTTATTTTTACTCACTAATCTTTCAGAGCGCCTAGCATCGTCTTCTATAAATAATTTCCTTAAATAAATAGGTTTTCCAGTATCTAACAATTTATAGAAATATGTAGCCAGAAAATATATTCTTCTCGATTTAACCGATAACCATTTCAATTTAAATCGATAAGGGGTTATATGTTCATCTCGTTTGATATTAAAAATAAACCTTATTGCACAATTTACTGCACGCTGCAGTTTTAAATCATTTTCAGCATTTGAATCGATTAGTACAACCGAACAATAATCTATCAAAGGAAGAATAGTAGCCGAAACCAATAATTTTCTAATATCTGAATTGAAAATATTTTTTCTCACTTTTAAGCAGTATAGTGCAGAATTTATCTTTTTTATGGTATGAGAAATATGAGTTTTCCATGATAGATCATTATTTATATATAAACCAAGGCATTTTGTTGAATTAATATAAGGTAATTTTACATTATCGATAGTTATGGATGGGAGAGTAGCCCAGTCGATTAATTTAAGTTTATATGATATGTGGAATAAAGATACACAAAAATTATATTTACATTGTTTTTATTTGCAAAAACCTTAAAACTGATACATAAGTCCTCAAAATATATTTACAAAGTCTAAGATCCAAGTTTGCATAACTTTTTGTTTTCATCATCATCACTTGCAATCAATTTTCTTTTAAAATTAATGAAAGCCTTGTACCCTCAAGATAAAGTATAAGTACTAGCCTCAATTAGCTGACGCTTATCGTAACCCCAACTGAGAGCCTGTTTATCATGCTGGAGGAATGTATGAACTTCATGTTTCATACTTTTCATGAGGTACTGGTTTTTCCGAAGCTCTACATTATCAAATAAGCAATGTTAAAAATCAAACGTGATGGTCTTCAAGGTTGACTCTCCAACACCCTTTGCTCGGTTCTTTATTCTGTCTTTTTCCTTCTCAGGATTATACAGATAATTATTTTCAGGATATTTATGTGAATATCGTAAATTATGGCTATGAAATATACATATAAATAAGAGTGACGACTTATTAATATATGGGTCATTCCATGCCAAATCGACCAATAGTTGGAATCGACCCCTTCCGATTTGGATGACATTTGGTCACAAGTCGAAGTTGTGCCAACGGAAAAAATTAAAAAATTTTTTTTCAAAAAGTTATGCAAAATTCAAAATTTCACCATTTTCAGGTTTTCAAATTTATTTTTGTCATATCTTGAAAACTATTATAGGTACAGACATGGGCCAAAGTTTATTTTAAAGGGAATACTTGAAACTATAAAAAAAATCGGGAAAACGGTTGACCCTAAAGGGCATCCCTGCAACTTCCCGCCAATTCCACACCTAAACGCTTGAAATTGCACTTATGACGTTTCTGAGCTCTTCGAGCTCAAAAATACAATTTGTGTGTTATTTTGAGCTTTCCGAGCTCAAAGAATTACCTCTTGTATGCTTTAGAGCTCTTCGAGCTCAAAATCCTGATAGAAGTTTAATACAACAGTATTTTTTGAATTTTCAAACTACAATCATTTCTAAATGAATGAATCGATTTTCACGCGGTTGTCAGTAATCCACGCACTTTTTCAGAATCTATGATAGACTATTGAACACAAACTGATCGAACCGAAAATCTTAGAGAAATTTGAAAAATTCGCTTTTTCCGAATTTTTTCAAATTTTTTCGATAACTCACGAACCAATCAACCAATTTTTACGTGTTTGGTGGCGATCGACGTGATTTTTTGGGCTCTAATAATTATTTTATTTCGTCAAAAACGATCCGAAAAGAAATGTCGAAGTTATGTGAAAAAAACACTTTTTTCAAAATTTTTCGTTTTTGATAACTCTCGAACAAATTAACCGATTTTGATGGGATTGGTGGCAATCGACGTGGTTTTTCAAGGTTAAGAGCTGATTAGTTTTTGGAATTGATCGGTGAAGCCATTTAAGAGATTTATTGAAAAAATATTTTTTTTGAAATTTTTCGTTTTCGATATCTCACGAACGAATCATCTGATTTTGACCAGTCCAACGGTGATCGACGTGGTTTTTCAAGGTTAAGAGCTAATTAGTTTTTTTAAGTGATTGGTGAAGCCATTTAAGAGTTTTTTTGAAAAAATATTTTTTTTGAAATCTTTCGTTTTCGATATCTCACGAACGGATCAACCGATTTTGACCGGTCGAACAGCGATCAACGTGGTTTTTAAAGGTTAAGAGCTGGTTAGTTTTTGAAATCAATCGGTAAAGCCGTTCAAAAGTTATTCAAAAAAAACGATTTTTTGAAAATTTTGTTTTTGAGATTTCTAAAAATCTAGCGGACCGAATCGATTCAAATTTTCACGAAATTTAATGGCAATGATACTCTTTGGATCACCATCAATTTCGATAAGCCAAGCCGTTTAAAAGTTATAAGAGGTTTACATACATACACACACACACACACACACACACACACACACACACACACACACACACACACACACACACACACACG